CAGTAACAAAAAAGTCGAACCTAAAAGCGTGGAAATACAATGTGCTAGTGCTGATTTCCTCGTCATTTGAAGACCACTGATATCCATCAGCTGAACAACAGCACTACTCATGAATATAAGTAGCATTTAGATAGATGGATCCAAATCAGATACGAGAAGTTGACAACCTAAATGGGTTGAGAAATCGCGCGAGTAAAAGACCAATTTGTCAACGACAAATGTGAGCACACCCCCCCCCCAGAGTGAGTCACCAATTTGAGGCTTCGAGGTCACTGAAGTCCTTCCAAGGACATGTGTGCGCCAACAGATCGGAGGCGTCGGAGATGACTTGCCAACTCCAATTTAGCTTTGTTTGCCAGCATCTACCGCGTGTCAAATGCTCCGAAAGCTCAATTTGGCAGGGGAAGGAAGTAAGAATGAGGATGAGATAACCGCCAAAAAAAAAAAAAAAACGAACAAACAACCCAATACAGATCTCCCAACTCTACTCATCCTCCTCCTCCTCCTCCGCCCCGATCACAACATCCAAGCACAGAGTACATCATCATCTTTCAGCTGGTTCTTGCTTTTTACACAAAAAGAACAAACAGCAGTTTTGGAGAAGTGGAGAGAGAGAGAGAGGGGATTAGGACAGACGAGGTGTGGCAGGCAAAAGGGACTTCCAATTGCGGAAGCGTAGATTTGACCGGACAGTAGAAGTTGGAAGATTAAGAGACATGTTTGACTTGGTCTCCCCTTGTTTTTTTATGGTAGCCTGTCGAAGGTGAGAGACAGAATCAGGAGATAGGTGGATGCGTGCAGCGTGTAGGAGGTAGGGAGGGCTCACTCGTGAGTGCGTCGTATTTTACAAAAAAAGCACACCAACGAGGAGTAAAAGACCGTAGACAGGTTGTCGGTATCGGACTTGGTGGCCGACTGGAAGAAGGAGGGCGAGGGAGTGGCGGTCGGCAATTGGACGCGATGGCAGGGTAGAAGAGGAGGAGGAGGAGGAGGGGGAGGGGGGAATGGAACAAATCACGAGGCATCTCCGCGACGCTGTCCGGTCATTGCGATTGCACACTGAAAGGGGAACAAACAAAGAGGATCACACACAGAACAGAAACTCAATCAGCAACACTCCAACCATTCCTCAACAGTTGAAGGTGAAAGTCATTGAAAGCACTCACCCGCCCATGTTGATGCTAAAAGAGAAGAAAAACAGGGTTACAGAGAAGAAAGGGAGCTTCCTTCTAAACAGCCCTTAAATAGCTTAGTTGAAGGAATCTTGAGCTATTGAGAGCGAAAAACTCGTGAACCGCAACTGAGGCGAACTTTTACAACCTTCCGTACATCGCCTTGGCAGTGGAATGCAGACGGGAAATAAAAAAGCCTCCAGACCATAAAACAAGGCAATCGCCGGAATGACTCAACCCAGCAAGGGTGGAGTGAGCATTTCTGCTACTCTTTTGGACTGTCGACCCATGCGCTTTTTTCCTCTCAACTGCCTTACACTCTACACCATTCCAGAGCTTCGACAAAGAAACAGAAAAGGTTCCAACGGTTTAGAAGACCCTAATTAGAATCCACCCTCTGACCTTTGAACGCCTCCAGCCCAATTATTCCAAACAGAGAGAGTGATGCAAGGGATAACTCACCAATCTGAAACCTCGGGGTGACTAGAGCAGATGCTTTCGATCAGGGCGCGTCTAAAAAGAGGAGCAACCGAAAGCAGCATTTTCATCACGACACCCGTCCGATTGATTCAAGAGAAGCAAAAAGTAAAAAAAGAAACTCACTTGGTGACTAAACCACCAGGAGGATAGTTGGGGAGAGATCGATTCTCTATCACGTTGCTGATGGAAGAGGAGGTAAATCGGTCGGTGTCCTTGTACATTTCGATGACGTCTGACAGATCGAAGAGGAAGATAAAAAAAGGACAGAATGAAACAAATGAAAGACAAAAAAAAGGGGAGAGAATGATTCAACAAGCATAATTTCACAGCCTCTCTCTGTCGTTCTCTTTAATGCCTACATTTTGGTTAATTGCGTAGATTCGGCATCACCACCAACTTGGCCTCCTAAAAACGCAATTTGTTGAATGCTCCACCCTTTTTGTGATGAGACCACGAAGGTGATGCAATTTTAAAGTACTTCCAAGCATGAATGGCCACAGCAGGAGTGTACACAAAGTGAGAGGCAGAGAGTTGGGAGGACGCACAATAACTCACTTTCGATCATCTCACGGATAGCAGTGTTGAGCTCCTTGTCCAGTTTGGTCATCTCAGGATCAGGAGTGGGCACGCTGTCCAAACCCACTATCAGCATGGTCATATTGTCTCTGCTACCCTGGAAATGGAAGTGGAAGGAGGGTTTTAGGGGGTGAAGAGAACTTCAAGAGGCACTAGATGGTAACAACAATGAAAACCCATCCAACAGCCAACTCATTAAGCTAAACGATTTGCATCCATCCATTCTGTTGTTGATCCACTTCAGAGTAATCAGAGATGGTCCACAAATTCACCACTCTTTGACACAGTTCAAAGGTTATTTAGCTCCTACAAAAGGCACGTGCCACACCAGTGACCACAATAAACGTCTCTTTCGGACAAGTGGTCAAAGATAGCACATTTTCACTAGTCGGTGAGACGTCATGGAGTTATCAACTCTAGAAAGCGTCGATTTACAAGACTGTAAACATGTAAACGAAGGGGACACGGTCATGACAGCAGTAAACGACAAAACGAGTACGGTTCCCCTTTCCTGTCCTCAAATTCTTGTGGCCCGCGCACGTGTCCACCTTAAGGCTACTTTAGAGTGACCAAACGAGATAGTGACAAGCAGAGGATGTAGTGATAAAAACAGGCACAAAATTCCCTCACCTAGAGACGACAATGACGGGATATTCCGTCACCCAGCAATAGGACATCCGAACGTCGCAAACACTTCGAAAGACACCTGACAATGACAGCTCCAACCGTAGGGCTGCTGTTCCCAGTCCAATAACAGGTTTTGGATGATCGGCATTTAATTCACGCCAACATACCCAAAGGACAGTTAAAGCGATACGACACCAGCTCAGCCTTGATGGAGCACTGAAGGACACTGCACTAGGACAGTTCAGTCACAGTGATTTTTTTTTCATCTCCGTCCTCCACTGCACTTCAAGACTGCCTTCTGAGTCGCCGAGCAAAG